TTTGAGAATATGGAGAAAATTTTCAAACCACCCGATGACCTGTTTCGTTAATTATAAGAGATTAGGAGCTCTTGGTTCTAAAGAGAGGACATCCAATTTTTTTTTTCTGTACACCTCAGAGTATTGAAAGCGAGAGAAAAAAATTATCTTCTATCCTCTGACTTTTTCGGCCAAAATGATTGGTTCCGCCATTGTGGTTAACAGATCATATTTTGGAAGGAAGCCCCATATGGAAGATATCGCGTAAAAGACGATCGACTCTGATGTGTTATTTCTAAGGGTGAGGACATATAAACAACAATTACCTAATATTTTGCCCTCGCCCTTTGACTTGCACCTTGTCTTGGTTTTTTATTATTATCAGGAATTTAAAACTCTCCCAATCTAAGTGTGTGGGGAAGAACAGTACTTGGTTTGAAAAGCTACCCTCCCATGGGGCAATGTGATCAGAGAATTAATCGAATTTAAACTAAGAAAAGCCATCACGTAAACCAAATTCCATTTCGCTGGTGATGGTTAGCTTCTCTGCCGTTTATGTTCGGCTTCTGTTTTGCGTGCTGCGCAGAAGTGGCTATTTAGTTGCGATCTGACGAGGTTTTTCGAAGTGGTTGACAGATATGGATAGGCGGGGTATATGGACAAACTCTTTGCTGAAAATTTAAACTTTGGTTTTTCTCCCGTGTGGTTGATGGTGATGCAATCAGAGCTATACGATAGTGTGGACGAACAATGATTAATTTTACCATAAAATTAGAATTGGCTTTTAATGCCTCTGTGTGATACTTTTGGGAAAAAAAAGAAATACCCTGATTGTTTGTAAACACAAAATTTTTCTTTCCTTTTTCATCATGCCCCTTTTTTTAAAGCTATTCTTTCCCGGTTGGGTGTCTATGGTTCACAGGGATAATTCGAAAGTTGGTCGATTTGTTGTAGAAAGGATGAATCAAAATTGAAATCATATCCCACTCGTCCATTCTGCTGATATTTTGCACGTCAGATGATTAAAAATAGCATTTCATCTCGCCACCTGCCTCAAACCATTTCTTGTTCTTGAAGCAAATCGCTTTTCTCTCTTGTATGACGCAAATTCTCACTATGGTTACTGATCAGTGTAAGCCACTGAAATCACGGCCTTTATTATCTTCATCGAATAAACACCTCTTTCGGGCTGTCGAAACTATCCAAAGAAAATTGACAATGTACGCATTAAAATTTAAAGAACAAATTCTGCCCCCACATTCTATGTAAATGTTCAGTGTTCTTGCGTTGTCAGGAATTCACACCGGTAAAAAGAAAATCTTCAGCCGCTTAATCGTAACTCAAGTATCTTCGAACCAATTTTTCTCGTCTTGATTAAAAAAGAAACACTTTCTCTGTGCACTACGAGAGATCTTTTTGACGAGGAGACGAGAATATTTAAAAAAAAAAAAAAATTTGTTGTAGATTTTTCTTTTGGGATTTTTGCTGTTCCGAGAAGAAAATATGAATTATTCAAAATCAAACGAATGCGCAAATCGAAGATCAATTATTCTTTGCTAAACCAACTGCTGCCAAAGCTGCCTCCTGATTGGTCCGTTCATCACTAACAGAAGAGTTCTCCCTCGCATTTTCCATCGCCATGTTGCGGAGTTGACAGATTTACGAAAATGTCTCTGCTTTTACTTCTAAAAACTTGCTCCAATCTTCGAGGGAAGTCTGACCGAATAGCACGGGTCACTTTTAGAGGTATGATTTTGTAAATTCTTCAAGAATTAACAGCTGTCAGCAGCTTGAAGCTGCCGAGGAAGCCTTTCTTTCGATCGCGAACGATTGGCGGAAAATTTTGTTAGCGGGCTTCGAAGTTCGCTCTCGATAATTTTTTTCCCGTAATCTTTTTGATATTTTAGCTGGTATACTTTCGAAATTGTTATTTTTAATCATTCTCAAAGGAACGATCCGTTCTCTAGACTACTTTGTGTTGTAACTGGTGAATTTTTCTTAATTATTCAACTTGTGTAGTTCGGCTTAATTGCGCGCAAAGCGTTTTACATGGTTTTCTTCGTCGGAAATTCTCATCGTTTTATCCCTTTTGTGATTCCCGAGCCTTGTTAAGCTCACAAAACACCGCTTTAGTTGCCTTGCAGTTATTCAAGAGTCCGTTTCACCGAGAGTATATGTCTGTTTGTTTGTCGGCAGTGATATTTCGAGTTGACATGGTTTTCAATGTGGCAAATTTTTGGAAAGTTAACCTAGGTAAAGTTCAGTTAAGGTAAATGAGAAGTATTTTGATTGTCTTTATCTCAGAAATTGTCGAAACACAAGTTTTCCTCGAAAAATCTACGATTAATTCTGTATATTGCTTTAGAAGTTATGAGCGTTTGTTATTAACCTTCCTTCCGTAAACCGATCGCGGTGGTCGAGAAAATCATTCAACCATGCATGCAAACTTTAACATAGTTTGAATATCTTTTAAATGTCGAAGCTGTCATTTCTTCTTTAAAAATAACACTGTCTCAGTACGCTGGCTATACTAAAACCCGCGTCATTTATTTTGGCTTCAGAAGGCAATATTTTATCTATTCTGCAAAGAAGATTTTCAATGTTGGTCCGTCAACTAAAATGTCTTCGAATGCTTCCGGCACAAACATGGCGGCGGGCAATGTAGATTCTATATTTATCTATGTCGCATTTTTTTTTGTGGGACTGTGAAATTTGACTTTTCAGTATTCTTAATAATTTTTCTGTTTATAAGAGGGTATGTTTCTTAAATTTGTCTGTCAATATGTATCGATCGCAAAAATTACTTTTAGTGTGACATATTTTTATTGTGTAAACAAACTGGAAATTTAATTGTAATATTTTTAGGTAAAAAGTTTCAGCGGGAAAAATAAATGTATATACGGCTTTGAAAGCGACTTGACATTTATATAATTCTTATTTGAATTCGTTTGAATGCGTGGTAAACGGTGATTATTATAAAGCATATGTTTTCTTGCTTTAAAAAGAAAAGGATATCTCACTGATGATTGAATTGTATTTGCAGTACGTAGTCCTACGAGTTACATTAATTTTAGTTACTTGTAATAATAAATCGAATGCCAGATTACCAGACTATACTAGAAAGACAAAGTATGCTCCCGAAAAACTGTGATATTTGTGTTTTATCTTTTATCAGCAAGCTTAAAGTGGTCTTATCTGTTGATCTTGGTTGTGTCGGTGTGAATTTCAAACATGGAAATCTAGATATCCAAATTAAATTTTCTGAGTATAAAAAATGTAAAGTAATTTTCTTTAATGAGGCTAACAGGTGATGAGGTTAAAATTTCTAATGAGGGGCTTACAGCACTGACAGAATTGAGTAGTTTCCCTCTATTAAATAGCTTTTTTGTAAAGCTGTTTTGTCTTAAAATCAGTCTTGACAAAAATCAATCAATCAATAAAAACTCGTTCAGGCATTGAGTTTTGGGTACTTTATGTTTTAACCATTCGTATGATTTAAGGAAAAAAAAGCATGGCCTGGATCTTGTGTTCCCAAAAGAAGCCACACTGTATGAAAAAAATCATGATATTTTGTTGAAGTGATTGTTTTTTTTAAATAAACCAGTAAATCAGTGAACTCAAGTTGGAAGCACGTTTTTGTTTTAGTGTAGTTTGTTTCCAGAAGTGCAATTTGATTAGCATAGTTCTTATAATAATAAGATTTTCTAAAGAGAATTCTTTTCATTTCTGTTATTTTAGATTCAAGTGGTTTATTTAAAAGGTCAAAGTAAACTAGAATTCCAACTTTTTGGAAAACCTTTAACCAAGGAGAAAGTTTAAAAAGTTCAGATTCAAGGTTTTTCTAATATGGAATATACATGTTATAGGATAAAGAATAAATATTATTAAAAACTGGATCATTGGATAATGCAATTCAAGACTTTTTATTGGCTTAGCCATTATGGTATATGAGCTAATATACCATAATCTAATATCTGTACATTGTAACATCCAGTTTCTTCTTACAAAATAAAGTCGAGAAGATTTGTCTAATATCTTGGGGGTGTTTTTTAAAATAAATTAAACAATTATTCCACTCACACTTGTTGATATGAGGTGATTATAGCCAACTTGGTGCTATGCACCTCATAGGCTATCTATCATCTCATATCCAATGCACACTCATGGAATAATTGTTAATTACCTCAGGGGAATTCATGTTATTGTCTGTCTTTAGGTGTAACATATCAGACAAGTGTAATTGAAAACTGTTCTGAAGCTGACTGGGATGAGGTATGTGAGCTCCCTTAAACTCTGATTTATCCTATATATTCTAAAATCAGAATGGCTCTTCTCAATACTGTTCGGATACATTTCCTATCAGGGCTCGACACTAACGGTACTAGCCAACTAGCCACAGACTTGTAGAAATTCAGTTTTGGCTAGTGGTTTTTGATTTCCACTAGCCAGTTTGGCTGGTTAACAAACTGAAAATGTCATAATATCTAAGATGTCACTAGACATATAGCTAATACATTAGAAAGTTAGTGTGGAGCCCTGCCCTGGATAAATCTTTATCCAGTGGACAGCACGGTATGTTTTAGTATCAATCATCTGCTAGATTATGACTTAACTATTGGATTAAGGGTTATCTGCCCTTTATACAACTGCGCCCTGCTGGTTTTTCAAGGTAAGATATTAAGCAAATTGTATCAACTTGAGATGTTATATCCAATTAAATAATAGATGATATTTAATTTCAGGACTTTGAGTGGCCTTTGGAGAGTCCACTGGACCCCAGTGAATTCATTGAAATTGAAGTTTACAACTTCAACAAAATCTTCAATAACAGGTGGGATACCCATTCAAATACAGATCATATGAATTTTGAATTTATTTAATTCTCTCATTGTTATGTTGCAATTAGGTTTTCAGAGCTAAACAGCCACATTAATGATGATTATTGGTTATAATATTTAAATTATTGATTTTAGACTGGTTGGAGTATTTCGCATGGTACTCCAGAAGCTCATTCAAGATGGGCATTTGGAAGTCAGAGAAAGTCTTATTGACATGAACAACACAGTACTCAAGGTGAGATTCTGCCATAAATTTATTTGTTAAGGATTAGTTTGCCTGGATAGTTTGAAACTATCCAAATTAATCCTTTGTTGAACGGTTTTAAAAAATTAATGAATAATAGCTATCAGTATGCTGATAATTTCAGATTAGCCACCAGCTATACAATTAAACCATGAATTAGTTGTGGCTCGTATCAGGGTGGGGTTAAACTTTTAAAATGGTTTCAATTGGAAATTAGGTGAAATTTTGGACAGTACTCAAAGAAGAGTAAAGAAATCATTTATGTTCAACTAATACATGTTTAAATCCTAACAGCTATAATTAAGGTTTTTGCCTTTTCTGTTCCAGGCCAATGTTGAACTTGAGTTGCAATACAACCCTCCCGAAGGAAATGTATCCCAGTGGGTGAATAATATTAATGATTCCCTTGATGCCCCACCCCATGTTGGCTACATGCCAGACGGGCACTACCAGATGGACCCATACCACTCTGACCCATATGGCAGAAAAGAAGAAAGGAGGGCGTCATTCGTGGGAAGCACATTCGGCAGCAAGGCACCAAAGAGCCAATCCATGACAAGCCTCACCTCTGGAAGTCAGCGGCACCATAATCGAAAGGAATCAATGCCTGCTTCCTTTGGAGGAGGTGGACGCCTGATCACACCTGGTGAGGGTGGGATGGGAGGGTCACCTTTTGATGCAATGTTGAAAGGAGGAGAAGGACTTGGAAGCCGAAGAGGATCACAGATCAGTATGCAGAGTGACAGAAGCATGAGTATGAAGTGGTAAGTTAACTCTTTCACATTCAGGAGTGACCAAAAAGGAATTTCTCCCTTCCATATCAGTGCTCCAAGCTCAATTTTTCAAAAAGTTGCCTTTTGGCCACCTTCAATTGTAAAATAGTCACCAGAAAAAGAAAATTTTGGTTGCCTTACCCCCACCCCCCTAGACAATTTGACCAAGGGTCACAAATTTTTACTTTTGTCAAAATTTTAGTTGCCAAATATATTTTTCACTTGCCGTGGTAACAAACATGGTCACAGCTAGGAGCGTTGCATAGCGATGCCTTTTCAAGGAGGAAGGCAACGAGAAGAGAGAAAAATGCCAATTAGAGGAAATTACCGTGTTGTTAAACACCAAATTCTTTAAGCAGTGGTATAAACACTTAAGTTAGCTAAATATCTTTTTAGGATATATCAACAAAGTTGAAATGGTAAATTGGCCACCGTAACGATTACAAAAGCTGACGTTTCAAGCGTTAGCCCTTTGCATTCGCTCCGACGAAGGGCTAACGCTCGAAACATCAGCTTTTGT